CATTGGCATTTGTAGTATTTTAGGCTCAGCTAAAAGAATAATTATTACTATTTATTGAGCACTTACTATATGCAAAGCACTGTACTTAGTGATGTACACAGAATATAATCACATTCAATCCTGACAATACCACTATGAGGTAAGTACTTTACTTCTATTTAGATGAGGAAGCTAAATCAAACATTCCTGTTATACCATAAAAAAAGATTATTCATAGGCTACCACCAAGTTAAGTAAATCCATACTTTGATTTTAAAAAAGCCAGGCTACTTTTACAAGTGACTACATTTATTAATAAAATAATAACACTATCTATGCTCAGGTTAAACTTATTTTTTTCTACATTTTAAACTTGAAACAGAAATAGAACTATTTGTTGACTAGCACACATGTATTGAAGGCTTAAAAGGTTTCGCTATTGAGCCGTGGAGATAAGAAAGAGAAAAAGGAATTGAGAACATGTGTTATCTCCTTTGGATTTGTTCCAACAATCCTCAAAATTTTCTCTCTTGAGTACATAAGATTACCTTTCTGCCACTTTCAGAAGACTGAGTCAAACATAAGTCATATGACTGACGGGCAGGCAGGTCTGCTGCTGACTAGTCATGAAGTCACCAAAACCACTGAGCCAAGCAATAGTAACTTATGTTTAATTATATATTTCTAAGACCAATTTATTTTTCTTAACCAAGGTTGTCCATAATGTAACTTAGGCCATAAAGACAACATTGAGGTTCCAGTTAAGGGAGGGCCTCGTAGAAAATGGTGGAAACGACTCTCGTAAGAAATAGACTCTCAACACTGGCTGGGATTGCATCTAGGTTGCTTTCAACCCCATTAGAAAAGCTAAAAGTTGCCCTCATGCTCAAAATAAACTCAAATGCTCTACTTTCAAGCCAAAGGCTATAAAAGGAACAGCTCACCTTATATTAGGACTTGTTACACTGATGGATGATTGAATACTACATAAAATAGCATGTCCATAAACAAAGAACAATTAGGATGGCTGGTTTATAAGCTCACCTTTGCTGAACCACTAACTTGTAAAGACCCAGAAATCACTGAGAATGCAGTGCTAGTCAGCGCAATGAGCAATTATGATAAAAGTAAGGTTTAGTATTTCAAATGCTTACTTATTTTCCCAGTCTTTTTATTCCTTTTCACTTGCTGAAAGAATCACACCAAGCACCATGGTCACATCTGAGGTAGTCTAATATGGATCAGGACTCCAAAAATTAATTATAAATATAAGATGGCTTAGAATCAATACTGTGTCAAGTTTCTTCAGAAATCTCTACTGAGTCAAAAAATTAATATTCTTGGGAGAACAACACTGTGCCTTGTTTTGAAACACCTTTGTTAGATTTTGGAGCCAGAGATTTACCTCAAAGGACATCAGTGGTAGGCAGCTGCAGGGTGAGGAGGTTGTCCATGTGATAGTGCAGGAGGCAGGGAAGGAGGTTGTAGCAGTGGCTCAGAGCAGGTTATCAGAGCCCAAGGGAGTGAAAAGGGTGTCCATGGCAGGGGCAATGGCAGCCCAGTGCAAGTGTCAGAGTCAAATGTGAGTGAAAGGGGCATCTTTGCATAGTGGTTGGTAGAGCTTGGCATAGGCAATTGGAACCCAAGAAGATAGAGAAGATATCCATGTGGAAGCTGGAAACAGTGAGAGCCCAGGGCAGGGTATCAGAACCTGAGCAAGGTCAGGGGTGGGTGCCCAAATGCCTAACAAGGCCCCTTGGGGAGAGGTGAGTGGTTATGAGCAGCAGCACTACATGGATTATCAGAACCAAAGGAGGTGAGAAAGGCATGCATGTAGAGGTTGGGTGACAGCAATATCCCATGACAGTGTCAGAACCTGAGCAGGGAAGTGAGAAGATCCAAGCAGGGGAGTGGCAATGGCAGTATTCTAGCACAGGATGTGATATGGTCTTTTTTAAGAAGAAGAAGGAAGGGGAGGGGAAGGGAAAGTGAGGGGAGGTAAGGAGAGGATGAGGAGGAAGAGGAGGAGGAAGAGAAGATAAAAAATATGAATAATAAATTTGCAATAAATACATATTTATCAATAATTACTTTAAATGCAAATGGATTAAATGCTCTAATCAAAAGACATATAGAGGCTGGATGTACTGGTATCCTATCTAATAAAAGAGAAACATAGTAATTAGCGTACGACTGCTATCCTTCCCATTGGCTAATCAGGGCAATATGCAAATTAACTGCCAGCCAAGATAGCGGCCGGCAGCCAGGCAGCTTGAAACTAACATGAGGCTTGCTTGCTTCAGTGACGGAGGAAACCAACGTTCCCCGCCTGCCTTGCCGGCCTCTGA